CCTCCTTTTCTAATTTCTGACTAGTCACTCCTTCTAGACTCCACCTTACATTGCGTAATACGTTTTTCGAGGACAAAGTTTACCCGTATCTGCTTGTTCTTATGATTTTTTGTTGAATATAATTGTGATTGTACATCTTATGAAAATGAATCATCGAAGAGAAAATTTTTTTCGCTATTCACGTCTTTTTTCTTATAATACAGTTTCTCTAGGCGCCTAAATATCATTCCTCGTAAAGTTTATCTAACCAGATTTTCATATATGAATTTAGTATAACCTGTCAATTTTCAAAAATTAGGAAACTGTGTGATTCAAATTTTGTATCTACTTAATATAATACTTACTGATACGCCAGAAGGGTAATTATAAACATGAAGATAAACGATACTTTAATTTCTAAAAGCTACTCAGTATTCTCATTGCTTTGGTAAATTGCTAACATACTTTATTGATAGTCATGCTATCTGGACTGACTGGTTTTAGCACTGAACTTGGCACACAAGTGCAAAGTGCTGCCTGTAGCACACAAAGGAAGACAATGAAAAGGAGAAAAAAGCAGATTTGGAGGAACGATAATAGGCAGAAATGTAAGAGAAAAGAATTTCTTTCTTCTTTTATTCCTTTACGTTCTCAGTGGAACATAGGGTGGCTTCAAGCTAGAGGCTTGAAGTTTCGGTGGCAGTGGTGTTTATTTTTTATTTTTACGGGATGGAATTGCTAGCCTCATGCCTAACCTTCCCTCTTCACCAATCACATTACTAGCTTAGCGAGGTTATGGAGTTCATCGACCGGGGATCGAACCCCGGATCAAATGCGTGTTTGGCGAGCATTCTACCGTTGTGCCACCGAAGCAAGAACTCATGCGATCAATGATAGTGAAAATAATAGTAATAATGATAATAACAGTGAGAGGAATGTAATACAAAACAACATATTTAAGCGAACAATATTTCGTTTTCTCAGTGACGTCTCATCAGGCTTCAACTCCACTATTTATAGTCATACATTGACAAATGAATATCATTACATAATAATAACAATCCTATTAATAACACGATAAACAAGTGCAACAATTTATGATACCAAAAATAATGAAAAACACCAAAACAAATCTTTACATAAACCTTGTAGATAAAGCCTAGCGAAAACGACTAGTAGGATTACGTAGTGCTAGATTGTAAGAGGAGGGAAATGAACCATGGCTTAATGAAAGTGTATTAATAAGCCTTAGTAAGAAAGGCATGAATTTCATCTGAATGCGTACTACTTTAGGCTTATTAATCCAAATGAAAATCTCATCAGCTGTGTTCAATAAACCAATACGAATCCAAATTGTCTGAATAGGAATGATAGACTATTAGCAGCAGCATTAAATAGCGAAACGTGAGTAAAAACAATATATCGTTTTGTTTTTCATTCATTGGGAAATACAAAAAACCTTTATTATAATCAATATGATGGGTGTGTGCGTCGGTGACATAGCGGTTAGGACGCTCGCCAACCATGCACATTGTCCGGGGTTTGATCGCCAGCCGAGGCACTCCTTTACCTCGCTAAGCCAGAAATAATGCTGGTGAAGAGGAAAGGTTGGGCATGAGGCTAGCAACCCCATCCTGTAAAATAAACATTGCTACAGAACTTCAAGCACTAGCTTGAGTGGTAAGAAAAAAGAAAAAATATGAAGGATATTGGAAAGATTCGATGAGATGAGATACGATGCAATGAGATGTGGTGAATCATCTGCAATGCGCTCATTTTTTTTCCAGTCACTGGCTATTACTCGTCTAAAGGTGACAGAACACAGCTTTCTATGCTTCTCACTTCCTCAATGAGAAATATTTCATAACACAATGATTTTGTAATATATTCTTTTGCGAAAGCTTATGTCAATATTTTTCGCTGACATCTACTGTTTCAAATTTTATTATGCTGAGGAAACAAAATATTTCCGTGGTACGTCACACAAATGGGATTCACTTTCATCTAGTGGCTTCTCAGATTCGAATCCATGCCCACTTAATTCAAACGCATATGGAAGTTAGTAACATCACCACCCTACAGTTGCATACACACATTTAGTGTGCAACACATCTTCGGGACATCGAAACGCCTATCCCGTCAACAGAGTTGAACGAACAATCATAAAAACATATAAACACTCAAATTTTGTGACCCAAATCGGATCACAAAAGAAAAGCAGGAAAGACTTCAACCACCACCTAGTTACATGGGAAAGTAATAGAGTTTAATGAATATGAGAGATTACGAAGTTAGAATATATTTGGATCAGTGAGAGCGATTTCGAGCCATATCGCCAATTGTTTCAAGTCATTGGTTCTTAGAATCCTGGGCACCCTAAATAGGCAGTCTACACCTTCCTATGTGGCTTAAACTAACCGTCAAAGATTTCATGGTGTGATTTTAAGCTTTGGTTTGACCGCCACTAGTTCTTTTCCAACCCGATCCTATGTCAGCTAACATTATCCATCGAGAAAGATCATGGTTGGGTAACATGGGTAACACATATCCTAGCCATCTCAACCGGTGTGACTGCATAACATCACAGATTAACCTTTCCTCCTCACGTACAACTATAACGATGCCTAACCTCAATATTGCTTACCTTAATAAACCACCTAACACTGGAGGTAGAATTCAGACACCTATGATCGAAGGCAGTTAGCCTTTTCACATCTTTCGCTTTCAGTGACTATGCCTCACAACCATGAAGGAGGACAGAGCGAACTACTCAGCGGTATACATGCCCTTTGGTTGATAGCCGAAGATCACATTTGTGCCAGAGGTGAAATAAATTGTCAAATGATACATATTCATATTTTATCCGTGCTGGAATTTCGTCAGCAATCATTCCGTTGGAGCTGATGTTACTACCCAAATAACTGAAATGCTCAGCAGGCTGAACCCCTTTATTCCCTCTCTTTAAGCTAGGAGTCTATGAATTCCAGTACTGTAGCCTTGTGTCACATCTGACAGGAGTGAATCACATGAAAGACATTCGAAAATCGTTGTTCAAGGTGTTCAGAAGACTGCCTTTTGTCACCTATAAAGACAGTACTATCTGCATATTCTAAGTCGAAACAAGACTCTTTCCTGGTAACACGTTAATCCCCAAGTCACTGAAGTCAGTTGGAGCCATCTGAAATTTATTTGGATTGACAATCCACTTTCGATGTAGTGGCTGATGACCGAAGGCCAGATGAAGACCTCGATGACTGCAAGATGAGAATCACCGACCACCTGATTTTTAGTCTGGTATCCAATCAGCCAACTTAAGAGACCCTGGCGATAGGAAGGACATTCATTATTTGAATACAGTTACTACCGATTATTACCAGCTGTCGTTTGAATGAACGAGAGAGTGTCTTCGGTTTATCATTTCACTAGGTGCTCAGTTAGGTCTTCACTAGTCATTCTTAATCCTACTGAACTATGACGTTTTCACAGTCATTAGAGAAAAAGGAATAATAGGATAATATACGCGAACAAGTAGAATCAATCAGGTTTCTAGTGTAGCATTAATGTGCCTCACAATTGAGATATATATGATGCCTCTGAATTGCCTTCTAAAACAACTTCAGGTATTCATTATTCTCAATGTAGCTTTGTAAGAAGTTCAATTTTTGTGTTCACTTTGGCAAGTTTGACAGAGTAGCACAGGAACCCATTGATGTGCTTCATCATCGAAAGATTCTTGCACTCTTTCAAACCACAGGAAATACTAATCAGTACATTAGGGGGAGAGAGAGAAGAATAAGAAACCGAATATTCATTGATATGGGAAAAGAAAACATCTCATGACGTAACATAACGACAGAAACGGGATACCGGAATATAACTACCAAACAGTTTTTAAGATTCAGGAGAATAGGAGTCTGGCAAATACAATTTTAAAACTAATTCATGATCGAAAATACTGATCTGCATACTGATCATTCAATTTATAAATAAACATAAACTGGATTCCAGCTCTGATAATCAGGGGTATTTGACTTCTGTTTTTTACGTTACAAGTAAAACTAGAAGACCCGCTGTACACTACTGGCCATGGTGTCCTACTAGAACCCCAGGTAACAGCCTGAATAGGGCTGAAAGTCGGAGGTGAAGACAGTTACTCATCGAAGAAGACACTGCGACATGGTGGCGCTATATCGTAAATTGGCAGAAGTTAGAATTCATGAACTGGCCATTGGCTTAATGGTCTACCAGCTCGCTCGCCTTGTAACCAGAAGGTCTTGGGTTCAACCCGTGTCGGTAGGTGCGTACAGCTGAAGAGACCCAAATTCGGCAGACGAAGTGGCTGGATGTCCAGGACTCCCAGGCAGGCTTTCCAATGATTCTCTAACTGATATCACCTCATGATAAAATCCTCCAATCAACCAGTCAAACAAAATCCCTACAAACCAATACCTGGAAAGTAGAAGAGTTTTTGAAACACTTGTTTTCAAAACTGCACGAAAACTATTTAGAATATTTTTTCCTGTTAGACTGAAGCTAATTTTGATGTGCATAAAGCTAGAATAAATAAATCTCCAGGAGCACAATTCTGTGGAATAAAATTTAACCTAAGGAAATGATAAAATTCTTTGTTTTATTTTTTTAGGAATTTCAGACGTCATATTGTTTAAAAACAAGAACTGTCTTTCTTCTAAGGGCATCTGAAATATATATATATATATACATATATATAGATTACTGTCTATCAAAGTTCATTCAGGGTGACTGTTGTTACGTTAACATTTGTATTTTTTCTTTAATGATTGACAGCTTAGTTTGTTTTTCCCACCACAATATTCATAACTTATTGGTTTGATAATGTCTAATATCTCTACATATATATCTATATTAAATTATTAATAATGAACTCTATTTTCTATAATTGAATCATGTTAAATCTATATAACTAAAATAAATGCATAAATTCATTATTTAAATTTCAACAGAAAAACATAAAGTTCAATGTTCAACAGGAAATAACTTACCTTTTGTTTTAATTTTAACACAATACAAGAGTTTAAAATTAAAATACAAGTAAATGGAAGTACATAGGTTGAGAGTAGAACAAATAATTGATAACCTGTACGACTTGATTGAGATGGAAATTTTTCACGACAAAGTACTTCACGATTGCAATTTTCATTATTATTATTATTAGTAATAATATTATTATTATTGGTAATAAAATTATTAGGTATCTCCTTAAAGTTTGCTATAGTTGCAGTTTGATATTGTGGTATATCTGTTATATAAAATGAGTTGTTGTCTATGCGAATAGGCGGAATAGTATTCAGCAGAGTAATGTTATGCGGTAATAAATCATCATATGATGGATCTGGTGTCAGTACTTGAAATATCATTATTGGGAGAGCAAAGATAATTCCAACTGCAAGAAAAAAATGAAACGAAAATTAGCAAACATTAAAGGGGAATACTTTCGTTCTTAATTGATCATATCACAATTACGAACGAAATAAATGATACAATAACACTTAGAATTCAAGTATTGGTTTGTAGGGATTCGATTTATTCGGTTACACGATTTCATCATGCGCTGACATTGGTTAGAGAACCAGTGGAAAACCTGGGAGTATTGAACAGCTGTTTCGTTCTAGTATGCACCCACTAGGGTTCGAACTTAGGACCTTTCAGGTAATCTGATACTCACTAGCGAATAGCTCTATTCAGGTTGGCAATTACCTGGGTTGTAGTTGGATGTCGTGGCCAGTAGAGTCCACTAAGTTGGACGTGAGGACAAATACTTACTGATGACACTAGCTAGTTATTGCACTATATCGTGGATCAGGTCGCAGTAACTGATTAGTCTAAGAGCTCATCTTGTAACCGGGAGGTTCCGGGTTCGGACCTGTGTGGGTGTGTACCACTGGAAGGTCTCTAAATAGGAGGAGTCAGCTGTCCAGTTCTCCTATGGTTTCTCCCTTTACTTATGTCAACTCATGTTGAAATCCTGTAACCACTTAGAATTCACTGATTCTCTGTCTGATAGAAACAAGTATAGGTAAATGCATATAATTCAAAGTAACGTCAACTCTACTGATGTTACATAAGGTAAAACTCCTCATGGATATGTTGTAGTCATTCGACCGTGTATCTGTTAAATAACTTACTAAAATGTTAAAGACTGTGAGCAAGGAACTATACAGGTACTCTCCTCGATATCATTTCAGATTCATTAGTTATGTAAAAGAAAAATTTCAACGAAACCGAGAAACGAATGTTGTCATTGGATGCAGAGTTTCTCTATGCTTAGCAACCAGCCGCTTACAAAAACCATGTTTCCTATGCAAAAAATTTATGGACAACCTTTAACATGAGCGTCGGTATGCCAGTCTCAACTCTAAAAAAGCATCATTAAAATGCATGTTCCTTGTTTTTATAATGATTTTGATTTTCCTGATAATTTAAAGGACCGAGATGTTCAACTTCTTTTGACATATTGTCTTCTAGGTGGGACGCTCCAAAAATAATAACTGGTAGCCGTCACAAAAGAAGTGGCTGTCGTATCCCTAGTGGTCTAGTGGATAAAGTTTTGGTGTTTGAAACGATCGGCGCTGGGCTCGAGTTTCAGCAAGAATACGATGAGTGCCAAATAGGACGAAATGCTCCTCCTGGATTCATTTGACAGTTATCATCAAATAGACTACTTCAGGATGTATATTCATTGTTCAGTTCATCTTCAACAATGAGATACCTATCAATAAAAAGTTGCCATGATCTCTCCACTTGTATCATTTTTTTCGGAGACTGAGTCATATCTACTTTGAAAAACAGCATTTAAAATTCAACAATCAACACATTTCTGCTGTGTTTAAAAGAATGTTGGTGACAACTTCGTAATTTTTAATGATAATTATGACCTAAATTATGATTTAAAATCGTATAATAATTTTTCAACAGAATGGTTACGGAACAATAATAATAGCTTTATTCCAAACAGTATTTGTGGTACAGGTTTGGAATTTTCAGCGTGCATTGCAATATTGCATCTAATTACCTCATAAATTTTATAAGACTTTAAAAATAAAAAGCAACAACAACAAAAAGAAAAAAAGAAAAATAAAAGAAATAAAAAAGAACAGCATTGCATTCACATATTTAAACAATGCACCACAGGATATGAAATATAAAATTAGTGTGTTATAGAATATGTGAACAACAATATAATAGTAACAAAGAAAGGAGAACAAAAGCTAATGGGAACTATTTGTTAGAGTGCCGCAGTAAGTTGATCGTGTCATACCTAACGGATTTCTCATCACATAACAGCTGTGCCAGATAAGGTATTGTGGAGTTTTTGTACTTGGTAGTCCTGGCATATACCCTCCTATAGTTGCTTCTAGTTCTACAAGGTTCTTTTCGATAACCTCTCCTACATCAGGTTCTACAGTTATGTATATACATAATAGTGAATGAATTAGTCTTATTAACAACATTAATGTTGTTGAAATAACATCAAATCAATAATAATCATAATACGAATGGATTATAGCTCGATAGCATCAACATAGTATTATACACTGAATATCAGACAGATAAATTAGGAAAGATAATAGGAAAACAAATTCATGAATTTATATTCTCTATTGAAGGCCAACCAGGGCAGTAGGAGTGGCTCAAATTGCTTCTTCTAGATACAGAGGACTGGTTGTTTAAGGCGAACGGCGATAGCCTCAGCTATTTGGAGTATACGGTACCTGGATGTTTTTGGCAATTTATTTGGCACCCGGTAGATGATAGAGAAGGATTCCTCAATGCTGGCTTTACGGTCAGTTTGGACCAGGTGTTCTAATATCGAGCTGTTGATGCTTCTCACTACACCTTTACTTAGCCACACTGGTCAATGTTCCCGGGTGAGCACGAAAAATCAATTCCCCAGTGCAACGGCCAATATAACTGGCTCCACCATGAGCGCAGTTGAAGTGGTAGATACATTTAGAAGTGGCTAGTTTAGGTACTTCATCTTTCAGTTGGGGAATCACAACAGGTCGTGTAGAAAATATGACTTGAAGTTTAATAGCATTAAAACCAGAATTAACTTCTTCGTAATTATTTCGCTAGATATATCGCCCTTGAACTGCAGTCGTATGCATAACGGCTTCTTGTTTGAGCATAGTGAATAGTCCTTTTCAACTTTCTCAGTCATATGTTTCCTGATGAATTTGTCTAGATAACTATTTTCAATCAAAGTATCATATACAATCCTTAGTTCATCTTCAATTACCTCTTCTGAGCATATAGCTGTATCCTTGTGATTGAGGGTCCTTACTAAATTTATTTTGTACTGAAGAGGAATGAAGCTGTGAAATCGTGTATATTTTCCTGTCCATGTGCTTTTCCTATGCAAATTTCTCTTTATACTACCATCTGGTTTTCTTGTAAGGAGGTCATCTAAAAAAGTAATTCTATTTTGGGATTCCTTTTCGCACGTGAATTTCATAGCAGAATGTACTTCATTGAATTGAGTTATTGTTTTGTCCCTATCCGAATCACTATCACAAAGAATAAAGGTGCCGTTCGTATACCAGCCATAAAATGAGAATTTTCTGATAAAGTGGTTGTTCAAAGGTACATTTTCTAGTTTACTTAGAAAGAAATTTACCAATCTTTAGGTAAATTCATACCAGAGGCAATATATTTCTAAGTGTAGAATGAACGAGGAGCTCTGATGAAGCTCCCAGAAAACCTGTACGGAATAGTCCACTAACCAGTTTTTACATTTAGATATCTATGAACCAAGAAAAAGAATGATCTTATCATTTCACCTGCTCATTGCATGAGAAAAGTCTTTAGCAGTGACTGATAGGATAAGAGCTTTCGTTTCTCAGAGAGGTGCACAACTTTTTCAAAAAAAATCATCGTATCAAACCCACAAAGACAAGAATACTGTTCAAAGCTAAGGAAATCGCTCGATGTGAACTTGGACTTCAAGGAAAACTTAACTACAGGTATCTTTAAAGAGGAAGTCTTTCTTTCCAGCTACCGCATGTATGCTTTTGTCTATCTCCAATCTCAATGGCATCGTTTTTGATTTTATAAATTAATTTTGTTAGCCTAGTAAAGCGAATTTAAAACATATTGTTATTAAGAATTTAGATTACTTTAAACGTGTATTGTTGGGACGAGTAGTTTATTTAGATGTTGGAGGTATTAGCAAGAAATATCCTGTATTCAGATTTCAATGTAGCAGGTGTTGTCATGGTTACGCTTCACTTTCATTCATTAAAAGTAAAAACTTGTTATTCATTTGTTTCACAAACTGTCACCAATGGTATTGCTAAGTGTGATGGGCTGGATTATGCCTGAGACTGTGTGAGAGTAAGAGGAAAAGAATACATTGAACGGATAACAAGACTCTAGAAGATCAGGTCATCGCGGATAACTTTTGTCTAGTATCACGTAAACTCGAAGATATATACAGGTGAAAACCAGAAAACTGGCAGAAGTGGCAGGAGGTAAAAACACGACCTTAAGTGAACTTAGAGAAGACAGAGGGGATAAAGATACCCCAGTGACCACCAACAACAACAAGCACCAATCACTATTAAAGGGAGAAATTTGAATGAAGTCGTCTCCTTCACTTATGTAGGCAGCATCGTTGAGACTGCAGGTGGACAGCATGGATGAAGACATCAAAATCAAGACGAGAAAGGTAAGTCAGGCCTTCACCAGCATACAGAACAAAATCCGGATTTTCAACATCAAAGTCAAGTCATTTCTTCTCTATGAGTCAGAAACTTGGCACCACGCCAAAAGTATTTCTGACAGGCCACTGAAGACGGCCGCTGCCTCTCCATGCAGAAGATCAGATGACCAGAAACAATTAGCAACAGGAAACTCTTGGAATGTATCCATCAAGAACCTATTGATCAACGAATACGTAGAAGTAAGTGGAAATGAATCAGAAACACGTTGAGGAGACCGTCTGGTGAATTCACGTGTCAAAGTTATCACTCGAGTGGAACCGGAATGGGAAATATGTCCGAATGTGACATAAGGGAGTTGAAAGCTTGTGAGCGATCAATGGGCCAGCTAAAGAGGACTTCAGAGAACAGGATGGAATGGAAATTTGCTGTTCTTATGCCCTATACTCTACTAGGAACCTAAAGGAATCATAATAATAATATAATACAAAACCACTTTATTCATACTAATATCTGATAACTGAAATGAAGTGCTTTCTTATGTGTATATTTAAATGTGTTTTAAGGATGAGGAATTATTTACTTAGATTTGTGATAAAGTGTTGATGCAATTTAAAGGGATCCATTCAAGAGTCCCATAAGCTAAATCGAGGTTATTCAACTTGATACAGATATGTCCACTCTAAATTGTAGGCATTAGTAATCAGTTTCAAATCACGACCAA